CCGTTCCGGGATGTGGATCAGGTCGCGGATCAGCGCATGTCGTCGAAGGCGCCGCCGGCATCGAGTGCCGTTGCTGGAGGATCTCGGGAATACGCCGTTCCGCGTGCTGAACGATGGTGACCGCGATCTGCCGAACGTCCCGAAAGTCCTGCTCGGTAGTCTCCGCCCCTCGCCGATCCGGATCGGCGTCTCCCCGTGTCGACAGAATGATGCAGCTCTGCCTGACCAGCGGAGGCAGGTTCTCGCCTGCGCGCTGCGCCTGCTCGGCCAACGTCCCCAGCTTGTGGGTGAACTCCACGGCAACGCCATGCGCGGTGATGATGCCTTTCAAGGCCCGCTCCGCCGCCGCCTGGAGAGTGATGCAGCGGCTGTCGAGCTCCACTTCGGGATCCGGGTTGCGGCTCTGCGCCAGCTCGCTCCGCGCCTTGCGAAGCCAATCGAGCGCTTCCTCCGGCTTGTAGAGGCGATTCTGCATCATGTCCGCCGCCCTCGCGCACCTGTTGGCGGCGCTTCCGCGCCGCACCGCGTCCGGAATCTCGACGGCCGTGGTCCTGTCGTAGACGGTGATGCCGTCGCGGAGAGCCGGCGCCAGGACCAGACTCAGACTGTCCTTGTGCTGCTCGGCATGCTCGGGGGTGGCCGCGATGACGTCGACCGGGGGCCCTTCCGTGGAAAGACTGCACTGCGCCCGAGCCGCGAGCTCGCGGCTGTTGCAGCCCGCCTTGACGATGAGGAGATCGAGATCGCTCCCGGCCTTCATCATCCCGCGGGCGCCAGACCCGAACAGCACGATCCGATCCGGGTCGACCGCCCGGACGATGCGCTGTACGACCTCGGCGAGGATGCGACCGTTCGGAGATCCATCCTCGTCGACCCACCGCGTCGCGACTCGAACGAGCCGTTCGCGTCGAGCGCCGGCCGCGCAGGCGTCGTCGCCGTCGATGCGCTCATGAAGACCTCGGAATCACCTTCCATCGAGAGGGTACACCGCCGGCGTTCCGCGGCAAACTCCCCAACTTGGAACGGCTGCCGTGGCCGCCATTCCTGGTACCCCTCCTGACCGGCGTTCACACGCCGACATCGGAGGAACGGCGCGCGCTTGGTGTCTCTCGAGGCGGCGTGAGTCGCTTGCCCGCGACGAAGGCGCGCCGCGTGCGCGAGGCCCCTCAGCCGAATCGGCTGGACGCTGAAGCGGGGCTGCCGCCACCGACGGCTGACTTCAGGGTTCCGTGGACGGAGGGGTGCTCCGAGGGGGGCGTGGCGCGCTCGTCCCGCGGCGCCTCCTTCGCGATCATCACTTCGGTCGCCTTGATCAGCGCCGTCGCCTCGTCGCCGCGTTTCAATCCCAGCTCGTCGAGGGCGTCGCGGGTGATGACCGCGGTCAGCCACTGGTCGCCGATGCGGAGGCGCACCTGGGCGACGAGGCCCTCGCGCCGCACCTCGTCGACGATGCCCTGCAGGCGGTTGCGGCCGCTGATGCGCACGAGCACGCCGCCGCCGCGCGCGCCGCCCTCGGGGCGGGAGGGCGGCCGGCCGGTGCGGGCGAGCAGGCGTTCGACCTCGGCTTCGGATATCCGGTGGTGTCCGCCGGCGGTGCGGGTGGTGCGGACGCCGCCGCGGTAGATCCAGTGCTTGAGGGTCGAGTAGCCGATGCCGAGACGCTCGGCCGCCTGCCTCACCGTCAGCGTTGCCATTCGCTCTCGCTCCCGCCTGCCGTGATCGCGGCGTGACCGGCATCGGCCCGATGGATTCACGCCGAATCGTTTGGCGAGTCGAATCGAATCATACTATATTGTTCAGAATGATTGGCTGGCCGAGGCGGCTCGATCGTGCGGGCGGCCCGCCCTCGCGGGGCGGGGGGGGCGAAGAACGGGCAACGGCGCCGGGCGCCGGCACGGGCGGGCTGGGGGTCCGGCGGCGGCGACGGCGTTCGCGGCGTTCGTTGCCGCCGCCCTGCTGTCGGCCTGCGCCGGGCCGGGAGCGTCCCCGCCGGACCGGGTTCGCGTGTCGGCGGCGGTCAGCCTGACCGGCCCGCTGGAGCGGGTGGCGGGCGCCTTCCAACGGGACACCGGCACGGCGGTCGAGCTGAACCTGGCCGGCTCGAGCACCCTGGCCGCGCAGATCCTGGCCGGGGCGCCGGTCGATCTGTTCATCAGCGCCGACGAGCGGCAGATGGACCGGGTGGCGGCGGAAGCGCTGATCGACGGGAACACGGGGGTGGTGCTGCTGTCGAACCGGCTCGCGGTGGTGGTTCGGCCGGCGTGCCGGCGCCGGGCGACGCGGGGGCGTTGCGAGCCCCGGGGTTCCGCCGCATCGCCATCGGGGATCCGGCCGGGGTGCCCGCCGGTGTCTACGCGCGCTGCTATCTGGCTTCGCTGGGGCTCTGGGACGCGCTGGCGCCCCGGGTGGTGCCGACGCGCAGCGTGCGGGCGGCGCTGGCCGTGGTCGAGGCGGGCGACGCCGATGCGGGCATCGTGTACCGGACGGACGCGCGGTCGTCGGACGAGGTCGCCGTCGCGTTCGAGGTGGCCGGAGGACGAGGGGCCGGCCATCGCGTATCCGGCGGCGGTGCTGACCGACGCCCCGAACCCGGCGGGGGGGGCGCGGTTCCTCGCCCATCTCCAGCGCCCGGCCGCCCGCGAGGCGTTCAGGCAAGCCGGCTTCATCGTGCCGGAGCCTGCGCCCGCCGCCGACCGGCCCGCCGCGCCATGAACGACGTCCCCTCCGTCGCCCGGTTGGCCTCAGCCGAAGGGACGGCCATCGACGGCGAGGCGACTGGCCCATGAACGACGTCCTCTCCGTCGCCGGGTTCACCGCGGGCATGGCGCCCTCGCCACCGCCGTCATGCTGCCCCGGCCTCGCCGTGGCGCGTGGGTGCTGGCCGCGGCGCCGCTTCCCGGGGCACGCGGTGCTCGAGACCCTGGTGTCGCTGCCCCTGGTGCTCCGCCGGTGGCGACGGGGCTCATCCTCATCACCGTCCTGGGGCGGCGGGGCGTGCTCGGGGGGCTGCTCGAACGGATGGGCCTCGAGGTGATGTTCACGTGGCGGGCGGTGGTCGTGGCGATGGCGGTGATGGGCCTGCCCCTGCTGCGTGCGCTCGGCGCGGGCGGGGTTCGAGCAGGTGGACCGGCGCTACGAGCAGATCGCGGCGACGCTGGGGGCCCGGCCGGCGCGGGTCTTCTTCACGGTGAGCCTGCCCCTGGCCCGGCGCGGGGTGCTCGCGGGGTCGCTGCTGGGGTTCTCGCGGGCGCTGGGCGAGTTCGGGGCGACGATCATGGTGGCCGGCGCCCTGCCGGGCACGCGGACCATCGCGGTGGCCATCTACACCTACACCGAGACCGGCCAGGACGCCGCCGCCGCGATGATGCTGGCGGTGTCGGCGGCCATCGCGTTCGGCGCCCTGCTCGCGTCGAACCGCCTGACCGCAGCATGACCGGCGAGGCGCCGAGCCCCGGCTCCATCACCCTCGACTTCGCCCTGCAGCAGGGCGGCTTCGTGCTCGAGCTGCGCGAGCGCATCGAGGCGCGGGTCGTCGCCCTGTTCGGCCCGTCGGGGGCCGGCAAGACGACGGTGCTCGAGTCGATCGCGGGGCTGCGCCGGCCGCGGCGCGGCGTCATCCGCATCGGCACGCGCACCCTCTTCGACGCCGAGGCGGGGGTGGACGTGCCCTGCCACCGCCGGGCGTCGGCTACGTGCCCCAGGACCTCGCCTCTTCCCCCACATGAACGTGCGCCGCAACATCCTCTACGGCGCGGGGGCGGGACCGGGCGGCGGGTTCGAGCACGTCATCGCCCTGCTCGAGCTCGGTCCCTGCTCGACCGCGGCGTCGCCGGCCTTTCCGGCGGCGAGCGCCAGCGCGTCGCCCTCGCCCGCGCCCTCGCCGCGTCGCCGGCCCTCCTGCTGCTCGACGAGCCCCTCGCGGCCCTCGACGCCACCCTGCGCGGCCGCATCCTGCCGTATCTGGAACGCATCCGGGACGACCTGGCGACCCCATGCTCTACGTGTCCCACGCCGAGGCCGAGGTGCGCGCCCTCGCCGACTGGGTGGTGGTGCTCGACGCCGGCCGCGCCGTGCGGTCGGGGGCCGAGCTGTGACGTGCCGGGCGCGGAAGGTCCGGCACGCGTGCACGGAGCCGCCGCGTGCGCTATGATCGGACCTGAATTCAGACCGTTTTCGAGGTGGTTATGCCGACTGCGGTTGTCAGTCTGAGCGCATTCAAGGCCAAGGCAGCACAGATGCTCGCCGACATGAAGGCCGCAGAGCACGAGATCGTCCTCACGCAGCGTGGGGCGGCGAGTGCGGTGGTGCAGGACTTCGACGCACACCAGCGCCAGCAGGAGCTGCTCATGTTGAAGCTCATGGTGCAGGGTGAGGTCGACATCCAGGCGGGGCGGACGACTCCGCAGGATCAGGTGTTCGCGGAGATCAAGGCTCGCTTGACCACGCCCACGGATGGCTGACTTCGAGGTCCTGTGGACCGACGCGGCGAAACTCGACCTCCATCGAATCGTCACGTTCATTGCCGAAGGGAACCCTGCCCGTGCTCTTGGCGTGTCGCAGCAGGCGGAGCAACGGTGCCGGGCTCTCGTCTCCTTTCCGGAACGTGGCCGTATCGTTCCCGAGCTGAGAGCAGTGGCGTGCTCGCCTACCGGGAGCTGGTCGAAGGGCCATGGCGCATCGTGTATCGATTCGATGCGGATCGTGTCCACGTCACCGCGGTTCTCGACGCCCGTCGGGATCTGTCCAGCCTGCTGCTCGAACGGCTGGTCCGCTGAGCAGCGCCCTCGGTGTCTCCGTGTTTCCGGGCGTTCATTCCGGCGGCGCCCCGGCGCGGCATCCATCTCGTCCATCTCGGCCAGCAGGATCCGTTGACCCGCTTCACGGACGAGGTCGTCGATCTCTACGACCGCATGGAGGTGGAGATCGACGACGCGCTGCGCGACGAGCTGGCCGCGGTCCGCGTGGACGACGCGCGCATCGACCTGGCGGGGGTGGGTATCAAGGGGCCGGCCTCGACCTGGACCTACGTGGTGAACGACAACCTGTTCCGCGACCAGATCGGCCGGCTCCTTGCGGGGCCGGGACGGACGAGCGTCGCAATCTTCGCGGCGGTGTGGCTGATGCCGCTGATGATCGCGTGGGGCCTCGTCGATAGGTACTTGCGGAAGCGTCCGCGCCGCCGGGCCGACCCGTATCGGTGAGGTTGCGCGCGCGAGCAGCCGGTGGCGCAACTCCGTGTTGCACGGAGGCTGCCCAGGAAGGTGCCTCGCCGGTCGAATGCTGCGGGGCCCATCACCATGGGCTCCCGGGCCACTTCAGAGTGCAGCGGGGACTCTCACCCTGGGCTGAATGGCCGCGTGCCCACCAGGAACCCGTCGCCGCCGGACCCGGACGGGCCAGTCTTTTACGCGGGCGGTCGAGCCGGCCGCTCAACCGCGATAGCGGCGAGCCCCGCCGTCGCGGTGCCAGAGTCGCAGCATGAGGCGTTTTCGCGCCGGATCGTCGACATAGGCGGTGCGCCCATGGCCGCACCAGCGGTTGTTCACGAACTGCAGCTCGCCCGGGCGCAGGGTGAATTCGCAGCAGAGATCCGGGTCCTGCACCACCCGGGTCATCGTATCGAACGCGGCCCGCGTCACCTCGTCCATTTCGACCCCCGCCGTCTCGTATCCGGCCGGGATGGTGAAGTGGGTGTACCGGCAGCGAAGGTCGGGCCGCAGCTCGAAGACGGGGAAGAACACGGTCTGCGATTCGTCCGGCCAGAAATCACCCTGCCGGTCCTGATAGAAGGGGAGATACAGGCGTTCGAGCAACCGCGGGTGCTCTGCGAGCAGGGCGTTGTGGACCGAACAGAAGCTCACGAAGCGGCTCGCCCCGCCCTCCCGGGCGGTGGCAAGGCAGAGCAGGCTCACATGGTCCGGCGGTGCATGATTGAAAGAGTTGTCGACGTGCGGGGGCTGCGCGACATTGGTGCGGAATCCGCGTACCCCGATCCGCTTCTTCACGCCGGTGTCGGTCACTTCCAACAGGATCTGACCATCGCGGGTCTGGACCACGGGACGGCCGACCATCGCCGCGAGCAACCAGAACACGGCCTCGATCTGCGGGCGGCCGGACAGCTCCTCGATCGGGATCCGGTCCACCACGGCCACGCCGGGGCCTTCATCCAGGCGCGTTGCCGCACCTCGCCCAGCAGGTTGCGGCAGGCGTCGAGCTCGTAGTCCGAGGGGTCGAGCAGGCAGGTCGGCACCGGGTCGCGCTCGAGCGCGCGCGCGAGCTGGTCGATCTCGTCGAGGCAGCTCGATGGTACCGCGATCCGCCAATCGCTCTCGCGAATCGTGCGGCGGGTCCAGGCCCGCGGGCCGGTGATCGGCTCGCGAATCATGGGCGGCGCCGGGTCCCGGGCTTCGCCGAGAGGCGCGGGGTGGTCATGAAGGGGTCGGCGCCCGAGGGCCCGTCGGTATCACGATCGGCCTGCTTTCCCCATCCAGGGCCTCGACTGGAATCCCGACCGCGAGCACATCGCCGCGGCCCGCGCGGTTCCGCGCCATCGGCGGCACGAGCGCATCGGTGGAATGGCGGATCGCGGCATGTCTCGCATCGAGCCCGTCGATTCAGCGCGCGCGGGAATGTCCGCGAAAGAACGAGACGATCCGCTCGCTGGTCCCGCGCGGGTAGACGTGGGCGCCGGCATGGATCCAGGTCATGACCGGCGCCGCCGTGCCCGCGCCGTATACCGTGCAGCCGGCTCCGCAGCGGGTCGTCGCCTCGACGCCGTTCACCTCGAGGGCGACGGCGATCGCGGCTTCCTGATCCGAGAAGCGGACCACCCGATCGCGCTCCCCGGCCACATGGAAGACGGGCCGGGCTGCCCGGGCCGCACCGAGGGACGGAGGCGGGCCGCCACCGGGGCGTACGCGGCGAACACGCGACGCTCCGCCCAGAGGAGGTAGGTGAACATCCCGCCGTTCGAGTAGCCCGTCGCGTAGATGCGATCGTCGTCGACGCTGTACGTCTCGCGCAGCGACGCCAGCGCCACGTCGACGAGCCTGAGGTCGCGGTCGCCGCCGCCGCCACGCTCCACCTGCCAGCCGAGGAGGCCGCCGCGCCTCTCGAGTCCCTGAAAGTACACGACGATCGCGTCGGGCCATGCCACGTGAACGTTCGTGTACTGGAAGTTCTGCATGTTGTCGCCGTACCCGTGGAACGACAGGACCAGCGGTGCTCGTTCCCCTGCCGGTGACGCCGGAGCGTAGACGATGGCTTCGCGCGTCTCGCCATCGACCTGCCATCTCATGACCTGCGCCGCGGCGTCCCGGGACGCCGGGAATCAGCAACAGGCCGACCAGAGCCACGTGCGTCAGACGCATTCTCATCCATGCCTCCACGTTCGCTGACGACGGTATCGGCCGGCCGCGCCCTGCGGTCCGGACCGAGCGCGACCTTGGGACACTGACGGAAATTGCCTCGCCGTGTGCCATGCGCGCAAAACCGTAGACAACGGGCTGTGCATGGGCGCGGTTGGCAACTCTATATCGTTCACGGTCCTTGCGGTCGCGTTGGGAGTTTCGCTGGCGCGATACTTCTACGGCGCAACCCCTGGCCCGGAAATCGTCGCCTGCGGCTCCGATTGCCGGCCAACCGACCCTCCAGGGAGTCAGCGCCTCCTTGCAGGAGGCGGCGCCGTTCTACGGCGCAGACTCCTGGCCCTGAACCGGCGCGCCCGGAGGCCGCCGGCTACACCCCGATGCCGAGCACGCTGAACAGCAGCCAGGACACCAGGCCGCCGACGACGGTCATCGACAACCCCCACGCCATCAGCTTGTTGAACAGGTCGCGGGTGTCCACGCTGGGGTGGGCGGCGGCCATGCACAGGGCGCCGAGGGTCGACAGCGGCGAGACGTCGACCAGGTGCCCGCCGACGTTCATCGCCGAGGCGAGGGCGAGCGGCTCCACCGAGAGCCGTTCCGCGAGGTCGGCGACGGTCGGCAGGAACGCGGGCAGCACGACGCCGGAGGTGCTGCTGTAGAGCGAGATGAACCCGGTGGACGCGGCCATGATGAACGTCGGGGCGATGGCCGCGGGGCGCTCGATGAGGTCGGTGAACAGGTCGAGTCCGCCGGTCGCGCCGAGCACCTCGATCAGCACGGTGACCCCGCACACCATCATGATGACGCGCCACGGCATGATCTTCACCGCCTCGAGCTCGTCCCCCGCCTTCAGCAGGCTCAGCAGCACCGCGCCGGCGAAGGCCCCCAGCCCGACGTCGACGTCGAAGAAGATGACGGTGACGATCAGCGTCGCGATCACCGCCAGGGTCACGAGATGCGTCCGCGAGAACGTGACGGCGCCGGCGTCGTCGCCGCCCTCGGTCCCGTCGCTCGACGGCACGTCCAGCGCGCCCTCGTGGTAGCGGCCGAGCAGCTTCAGGCCGCCGAAGAGGAAGTAGGCGGTGAACACCACGACGGTGTGGGCGATCATGTTGTTCAGGTAGTTGTACAGCTCGTACCCGCCCATGCCGAACTGCTCCATCACCCCGTTGACGATGACCCCGGTGGGAGCGATGGGGGAGAGCGACCCCGCGTTGGCGCCCATGCCGACCATGATCGCCATCAGGAACGCGGGCACCCCGACCTGTCCCGCCACCGCCATCGCCATCGGGGCGATGATCGCGGTCGAGGCGATGTTGCCCGGCCCGATCGACGCGAGGACGAACGCGAGCAGGAAGAACATCATCGGCATCACGCCGACGTTGCCGCGGGCGTAGCTGACGGCCCGGTGCGCCACCCGGTCGAGGGTGCCGTTGAGCTGGGCGAGGGAGAACAGCAGGGTGACGCCGGCCAGGGTCAGGAACAGCCGGGCGGGGAATCCCCGCCATCACCTCGCGCGCGCTCATCCCCGCGACGTAGACCCCCACCAGCCACGCCAGCGAGATGGCCAGGAAGCCGACGTGCAGCCGGATCGTGCAGCTGACGACGATGGCCACCGCGAGGGCGCCGAGGGAGACGGCCGCGACCGGGTCTACCGAGCTGAACAGGTCCATGGCGGGCGATCATATCGCGGATGCCGGTGCGTTCCTGGCGGGCCGGGCGTCCCGAGGAGCCCGTGGTCGAACCGCGCGTTGCAGCGAGATTCGGCGAGGGCGCCAGCGGCAAGGCGCAACGCAGTTCCGCAGCGCAACGTATTCCGCGCGTGATGCACGTCGGTCGAATGCCAGCGGGGCTCGCGACTCGAGCTTCTGGTACGCCCCCGCGCCCCGGGGTTGACCGCGCGGCGTGGCCGCGCCATCCTCAGGACGGCCACCCGATGTTCCTCTTCCTCGCCCACCACGGAGACGCGCTCGGACCGGGGCAGGACCCCCAGCGGCCCCTGTCGCCGCGCGGGCGCGCGCAGGCCGACGCACTCTCGACGCAGGCGGCGGCGCGGGGAGTACGTCCCGCCGCCATCTGGCACAGCGGCAAGCTGCGGGCTCGCCAGACGGCCGAGGCGCGTTACTGCGCTGTCTGCAACCCTCTGCCGAGTCATCGCACAGCGTGGGACGCAGCCTCGGCGATCCGACGCGGTCTTCGCCGACTGCTCGAGGTCGAGACCCGCGACGTGATGGTGGTGGGCCACCTGCCGCATCTCGACCGGCTGCTGCGCCACCTGCTGCTCGACGACGAGAGCCTGCCGCCGTTCCCCGTGAACGGGCTGGTGGCGGTCGAGCGGGTGGACGAGGCGTGGGTCGAGCGCTGGCGCCTCGCCGCGCCGCCGGCGTGAGCCGGTCTCCTCGGTGGCGCATACGAGACGACGACGCGTCAACGTTGGCGCCCGCCGCGCCCCGGTGGGTGACGGGAGTCGGTTGCCGTGGCGGATGCGTCCGGCCCGGCGCCAGGTCCGCTGGCGGGCGGGTGCCACGGCGCCGCACCGACGGGCCTGCCGTCGGGGGCCCGCCCGTCAGCCTGCCGTCAGGCCGGCAGGAGCCGGTCGAGATGCTCCTGCAGAAGAGTCCAGGCCCGCCGGACGTGCGCTCCTCGGTGCGGATGTGTCCGACGGCCAGCCGCAGGGCGAAGCGGCCGTCCAGGCGCGTGTGCGACAGGAACACCTCGCCGGTGGCGTTGACGGCGTCGAGCAGCCGGGCGTTCAGGTCGTCGAGGTCGCCGGCCGGCGCCGCGGGGTTGGCGCGGAAGCAGACGACCGAGAACGGCGCCGGGGCGAGCCGCTCGAAGCGGTCGCTGGCGTCGACCCAGTCGGCGAAGCACCGGGCGAGCCGCATGTGCTCGGCGATGCGGCGGCGGATGCCGTCGGCGCCGAAGTAGCGCAGCACCATCCACAGCTTCAGGGCGCGGAACCGGCGCCCGAGCTGCACGCCGGTGTCCATGAGGTTGCGGACCGCCCCCGGCTCGCGGCTCTGCAGATAGTCCGGGGTCAGGGCGAACGCCTCTTCGATCCGGTCCATGCGGCGGCAGAAGAGCGCGCTCAGATCGAACGGCGTGAACAGCCACTTGTGCGGGTTCACGACCAGCGAATCGGCCCGGTCGCATCCGGCCAGCGTCTGTTCGTGGCCCGGCACCATCGCCGCGACCCCCGCGTAGGCGGCGTCGACGTGCAGCCACAGGCGCTCCCGGGCGCAGATGTCCGCGATGTCCGGCACCGGGTCGACGCTGGTGACCGCGGTCGTGCCCACCGTCGCCACCACCGCCAGCGGGGTGACGCCGTTTCCCCGGTCCTCGTCGATTGCCGCCGCGAGCGCGGCGGGGCGCAGGCGGAACCGTTCGTCGGCGTCGATGCGCCGGAGCCCGCTCTGTCCCAGTCCCAGCGTCATCACCGCCTTGTCGACCGACGAGTGGGCATGCTCGGAGCAGTAGATCCGCAGCGGCGCGAGGTCCGAGGCGGCCCGCGAGGCCCCGCTCGCGCACCTCGGGCACCGCCTGCCGGGCCGCGGCGAGGGCGTGCAGGGTCGAGATGGAGGCGGTGTCGTAGATGACCCCCTCGAACGCGTCCGGCAGCCCGAGCAGGCGCCGGAGCCAGCCGAGGGCCACCTCTTCGAGCTCGGTCACCGCCGGGGAGGTGCGCCACAGCATGCCCTGGGCGTTGAACGCGGCGCTCAGGAACTCGGCGAGCACGCCGGGGCCGCTGGCGCTGATCGCGAAGTACGCGAAGAACCCGGGATGGTTCCAGTGGGTCAGGCCAGGGACGATGAGCCGTTCGACGTCGTCCCGGATGGCGCTCCACGGCTCGCCGGAGGCGGGCGCCTCGGGCGGCAGGGCCTCGCGAACCTCGCCCGGCTTCACCCGCGACAGCACCGGATACCGCTCGGCCTCTTCGAGATACCGGCCGATCCAGTCGACCAGCTCGTGGCCGCCTGCCGGAACGCCGCCGCGTCCATGTCGCCGAGCGGAGGCGCGGGACGTGGAGTGGCGACCGCCGGGAGGGTGTTGGGACATCGGCCCTTGGTGTGCGCGGACCGAAAATTGTAGCATCAGGTGTCGAGAGGCGTCGGGGCCGGCGGCCGGGGCGACGGACGTCCCGGGGGGGCCCCGACCTCGGTTCAGGGCCCGAAGAGTGCGGGCGCACGGAGGTTCTGGTGGCAGAAGCAGCAGTAGTGCATACGAGCCGGTTGCGGATCGAGCGCATCGGCGGTCCCTTGCGGCACGCGTATCTGGAGGGCTTCGACGAACCGATCCGGTTCGGGGTCCACGGTGGGATCAAGGCGTTCTACGGTGTCGAGCCGCCGGAAGACGTGCCGGCCACGCTGGACTTACATGGTCGGCGCCGTCGGCGGTTGACTGCTCGGCACCCTTGCACGCGCACTGGAGGTGCGCGACATCCCGGCGCCGACGGAGAAGCTGCAGGCCAGCGTGGAGGGCGACATCCAGGCCATCGACAACGTGCTGCGAATCACGAAGATCCGCGTGCGGTACCGTATCCGGATCCCGGCCGGGACCCGCGAGCGGGCGCAGCGGGCGGTCGACACCCACGCGACGAAGTGCCCCGCCGCCAACAGCGTACGCGGGTGCATCGACCTCGATATCGCCGCCGACATCACGGAGGAGTGATCCGGGCGTCCATCGAAGCTGAGCAGGTGGAGAACCGGGCCGCGCACGCGGAGCTGGATAGGAAGATGGAGAACCTCGGAGAGCGTATCGACCGGTTGTACGAGCTGCTGCTGGCCCAGACGAACCGGTAGTCTCGCCGCGCGTTGTCGGGAAACCGTGGTTGGCGCGGCCGGAAACGGCGGTGGTCACGCGTGCCGTCCGCTCGGACCTGCTCGTCCCGCTCTCCGGAGGACTGGAGGAATGCGATTGCAGGCGATGTCTCCGCCTGGACGCTCGACCGGGGAGGTGTAGCTCGCCCAGCGTGATGCCTTCGGCGGAATCGATCGTCTGGCTCGCATGGGGAGCCGACACCTTCGCCCGCGCCGCGGCGGAGCAGAAGCCGATACTGCTGTTCATCGGCACCGCGTGGTGCCGGTGGACGGCGGAGATGGATCGGTTCAGCTACCGCGATGCGCGCGTCGTGCGTCTCGTGGCCGACCGGTTCCTGCCGGTGCGGGTCGACGCCGAGCGGCGCCCCGACGTCAGCGCGCGGTACACCCTCGACGGCTGGCCGACCACCGCGTTCCTCACGCCGGACGGCGACCTGCTGGGGGGCGGGACCTATCTCGATGCGGACGCCCTGACCGCGGTGCTGGCCGACGTGGCCGCCGCGTTCGCGGGCCGGCGCGCCGACATCGACGCGCGCGCGGCCGCCGTCCGGACCGCGGCGGCGCCGGCCGGGAAGCCGGGGCGCACCGCCGGCGTCCGCCGGACCCCCGGGGATGCGGACGACCCCGCCGGGCCGGATGACGCCACGGGACCGGGCCACGATGCCGGCCTGGACGACGACGCCGGGCAGTGGCTGCACGATCTGCTGCTGGCGCGCTTCGACGCGACCTGGGCCGGCTTCGGCGACGGCGCCAAGCGGGTCGAGGCCGCCGCCCTCGCCGCCGCCTCCTGCGGTGCCGCGAGACCCGCGACCCCGACCTGACCCGCATCGTCGCCCGCACGCTGGACGGCATGGCCGGCGGAGGCCTGTGGGATCCGGTCGACGGCGGGTTCTTCCGCTACTGCGCGGCGCGCGACTGGTCGGAGCCGGCGCCGGAAAAGCTGCTGGTGCCGAACGCGCGCCTGCTCGATCTGTACCTCTCCGCGTCGACCATCCTGGATCGGCCGGACTACGCCGATCGCGCGCGCGCCATCGTCCGCTTCGTGCACGGCGCGCTGGCCGATCCCGAGGGCGGGTTCTTCGCCAGCCAGCGGGGGGCGCCCGATCCGACCAGCCCGGGCAGTTCTCCCGGCGCCGGGACAGGGGGCCGTCGACCCGACCGTCTACACGGACGCCACCGCGGTCATGGCCTCCGCCTACGTGCACGGCGCGTCGGTGCTCGACGACCGCTCGCTCCTCGAGTTCGCGGCCGAGTCGGTCGATCGGGTGGTGATGGCGACGTACGAGCGCGGCGGCGGCGTCGGACACACCGCGGCCGGGAGTCCGATCCCGCGCGGACTGCTCGGCGACCAGGTGCTGGCGAGCGCGGCCCTGCTCGATCTGTACGAGGTGACGGGGCAGCCCGTCTATCTCGACATGCCGCGTGAGCTGATGGCCTATTGCCACCAGGCCCTGTGGGACGAGACCGGCGGCTTCGCCGACCGGGACCCCAGGCTCCCCGGCCCGGACGCACCGGCCGGGCTCCTGCGCGATCCCGTCTACCCGCCGGACCTCAACTGCCGCGCCGCGATGGTGCTCGTCCGCCTGGCCGCCCTCGGCCGAGAGCCGGGCTATCTGGACCTCGCGCGCCGGACCCTGGCGCTGCAGACGCCCGTGTATCGCGAGCTGGGACTCGCCGGCGCCGCCTACGTGCTGGCGCTGGACGCGGCGTCCGGTGCGTCGTCGCGGCAATGACGGCGGGGACGCCGAGCCGCCCGCGCACGCGCGTCAATCCCGGGCGCCGATGCCCGTCGATCGCCGCGGACTCCTCCTGGTGCGCGATGTCCGAGCCCGGAAGCCCGGGGTGAAAAGCCGGCGCTTTTGCCGTGGGCTCTCCGGCGTGGCGCAGCCCCGGGCCGAGGCGTCACCGTGGTACACTGCGTCGCTCTGGAGGTGCCGTGTCCATCGATCGCTCACTGCTTCCCGCGTTGCGCAACGTCGCGACCCGGCTTCGGATCGAGTCGGTCCGGGCCACGAGTCGGGCGGGAAGCGGTCATCCCACGAGCTGCTGCTCGGCCGCCGAGATCATGGCGGCGCTGTTCTTCGGGCAGATGCGGTTCGACCCGCGGGACCCCGGCCACGAGGACAACGATCGCTTCGTGCTCTCGAAAGGGCATGCGGCGCCGGTGCTCTACGCGGCTTGGGCCGAGGCGGGGGTGATCCCGCACGAGCAGCTCGCGACGTTGCGGGAGATCGAGTCCGATCTGGAGGGGCACCCGACGCCGCGGCTGCCGTTCGTGGACGTCGCGACGGGTTCGCTCGGACAGGGCATCTGCGCGGCGGTGGGGATTGCCCTCAACGCGCGCCGCATCGGGTCCACCTATCGCACTTACGTGCTTGTCGGTGACGGGGAGTCGGCGGAAGGATCGGTCTGGGAGGCGGCGCAGGCCGCGGCCGGGCTGGGCCTCGACAACCTGTGCGCGATCACCGACGTCAACGCCCTGGGCCAGAGCCGGGCCACGCAGTGGGGGCATGACCTCGCGGCCTACGAGCGGCGGTGGCAGGCGTTCGGGTGGCATGTCGTGGTGGTCGACGGGCACGACCTCGCCGCCGTCCTGGATGCGCTGGACGAGGCGGCGAGCACCGCCGGCCGGCCGACGATGATTCTCGCGCGTACCGTCAAGGGCAAGGGCGTGTCATTCGCCGAGGGGCTCGACGGTTGGCACGGCAAGCCGTTCAAGGGGGCCGATCTCGATCGCGCCCTTCAGGAGCTCGATGGGCAGCTCGGCGAGCCGACCCACAATCCGCCGATACCGCCCCCGCCGCCGCGGGCGAGCCGACCCGCCTCGCCGCCGGCGCTCCGCCTGCCCGCGTACGAGTTCGGCGCCAAGGTCGCGACGCGCGAGCGCTACGGCGTGGCGCTGGCCGCGCTGGGGGCCTCCGACCCGCGGGTGGTCGCGCTCGACGCCGACGTCAAGAACTCGACCTTCAGCGACAAGTTCGAGCAGCAGCATCCCGACCGCTTCTATCAGACGTACATCGCCGAGCAGGTGATGGTGGGGGCGGCGCTCGGCCTCGCGAGCCGCGGCGCGATTCCCTTTCCGTCGACGTTCGCCGCCTTTCTCACCCGGGCCGCCGACTTCATCCGCATGGGGGGCATCGGCAACGTCAACGTCAAGTTCGCGGGCTCGCACGCGGGGAGTGTCGATCGGCGAGGACGGGCCCGTCGCAGATGGCCCTGGAGGACCTCGCGATGATGCGGGCGGTGCCGGGGTGCGTGGTGCTCTATCCGTGCGACGCGGTCAGCACGTCGGCGCTCGTCGCGGCGGCGGCCGCGCACGACGGCATGACCTACATCCGGACCTCGCGCCCGAAGACCCCGGTCGTCTACGCGGCGGACGAGCGGTTTCCCATCGGCGGGTCCAAGACCCTGCGCCAGAGCGCGGCGGACGCGGCCACCGTGGTCGCGGCCGGGGTCACCGTCTTCGAGGCGCTGGCCGCCTGCGAGACGCTGGCCGAGGCCGGGGTGCGCATTCGGGTCATCGACGCCTACTCCCTGCAGCCGATCGACGCCGGCGCGCTGGTGGCCGCCGCGCGCGAGACCGGCGATCGCCTGATCACCGTCGAGGACCACTACGCGGCGGGCGGGCTGGGAGATGCGGTGAGCGACGCCGTCGCCCCCCACGGCATCGCCGTTCAACGCCTCGCGGTGCGCGACGTGCCCCGGAGCGGCAAGCCGGCCGAGCTGCTCGACCGGTTCGGCATCTCGTCCCGTCACATCGTGGCCGCGGTCAGGGCCGCGGTCGAGGACCGGTCCGATGTCTCCGGCTTGACGTTCTCGCCTGGCGAGGTGCGTCTCGGGTGGCTCCACGACCTGACCATCCCGTTCGATCTCTGCCGGGGCCTCGCCGCGACAGAGGCCCTCCTCGAAGCCTGCGATGAGATCCCTCGGAAATCCCCGCCGCGGATGTGGGGATACGACAACGGATTGCACACGGCAGTCGAAGCTGGTCGATCCGAACGGCAGCCGGCAACCGGCGCCGAGCGTCCAGGTCACGGCCGGACGTTGCCGGATCCCGCGGTCTGCGGACCGCCGGGCCGGTGGTGGTCAGTTCCGTACGGCGCGCCACTCGGTGATCCCGGCGGGCGTCCGGGCGGTGCCGCTCATGGTCGAGCCGCCGCGGCCATTCGGCCGGTGTACGAGATGCCGCCGGCTTCGAAGCTGATCCGGTCGCCGCGCAGCCGCCCTTCGCTATCGCGAACGCGCCGTCCGCGGTGCGGAGCTCGCCGGAGACCTGCTGGAAACGCTGCTCGAGGACCAGCTCGCCGGCGTCCATCCGCCAGGCGCCGGCGACTTTGGCGGGCACGATCCACAGCAGCGACGTGCACCAGGTGGGGCACGGGTCGAGCACGACGGTCTCGTCGGGGATCCACCCGGGGGCGTCGGGGTCGGTCTCGGACCCGCCGAGGTCCCAGGTGTTGGAGACGATGCGGGTGCCCGGCCGCAGGTCGAAGAGGGTGGGCGCAGCCGGTAGTTGATGTCCGGCAGCAGGAACATCGTCACCACCGTGGCCGTCGAGAGATCGAACTCGAACAGGTCGGTCGCGACGAAGTCGGTGCGGTCGGACACCCCCGCCTCGGCCGCGCGGCGCGCCGACAGCGCCACGAGGTTCGGCTCGAGCTCGACGCCGATGGCCCGCGCGCCGAGGCGCGCCGCCGCGATCACGGTACGGCCGTCGCCCGACCCGAGGTCGATGACGATGTCCTCCGGCGCCACCGCCGCCATCTCGAGCATCTTGTCGACGAGCACGTCGGGCGTCGGCACCCAGGGAACGTCCTTGCCCTCCTGGCCGATCGCGGGCTCGGGAGCCGGCTGTCCGGCCGCCTCGGGCGGTGACCACGGGCCACCCGCCACCAACAGGGCAATCGTGACCGCGGCGAGCCGCGGTAGCGGACGGGGCTGTCGATTCGACATCGCGGCGGCGGGCCTCGACGGTTCAGCGCACCGCGTCGCTTGCCAGGCGGTCGTCCGGGTCGAACCGGTCGCGCGCCGGCATGACGACGTCGGGCAGGGTGGCCGCATTCATCACCGCCTGGTCGTCGATGATGCCGTTCTTGGCCAGGATCCAGGCGACGAGCCCGTACACCTCGTCCGGGCTCAACGTCCCGGGGGCATTGCGGGCATCGCGCGGTAGATGTAGTCGTAGAGGGTCGTGGCGTACGGCCAGTAGTTGCCGACGGTCGGCGGACGCGCCGCCGGGTCGCGGCCGACCAGCGGAGCGGCGATGCTGCCTTCGCCCTCCCGGCCATGACAGGAGCGGCAGGCGCGCCCCCAGACGAGCGCGCCCTCCGCGGCGCTGCCGCCGCCGAGCGGCAGTCCGGCGCCGTCCGGCATGACGTCGATGTCGAGGGCCGCGATTTCGTCCGCGGTCGCCGGGCGTCCCAGCCCCAGCGGGCCCGCCGCCGGGTCCGCCGACTGCCCGGCCGCGGCCCAGGGCGCTCCCGCCAGCAGGAGAGCCAGCCCGAACCCGCCCGCAAGCGCGCTTGCGCGCGGTCGCGCCGGCCGGCCGGGTCCGCGCGGGGCAGCCGTGCGGGTCATGACTGCAGCCTTTCCGCCCCGAACAGGACCCTTCCGTCGGTGCCGATGGTCCACGAGGTGATGGGGTTCTGGTGGTACCGGGTCCGTGGTCCGCGGGCCGCGACGAGAGCCTCCCAGGTCGGCTGCACGTAGCCGGTCTCGTCGGTCGCGCGGCTCATGATCTCGGCCGCGCCGCCGTCCCAGCGCCACGGGGCGCGGAACCGCACATGGGCCTTCGCCAGCACCGGCGCCTGCAGCTCCGCTTCCTGCCAGGTCGCGCCGCCGTCGGCGCTGACGTCGACCCGCGCGATCCGGCCGCGGCCGCTCCACGCCAGCCCGCGGATCTCGTGCCAGCCGGGCTCGATCACGCGGGGATAGGCGGGATCGGTGATGATGGACCGCGCGTCCATGACGAAGCTGAACTGGCGCGAGCGGCTCCCGTCCCCGAGGGGGTCGGTGTACTTCGACGTTTCTTCCCGGGTCATGAACGGGCGGTCGGCGAGCTCGATGCGGCGGAGCCACTTGACGCTGGAGTTGCCTTCCCACCCCGGCAGCAGCAGCCGGGCGGGGTACCCGTTGCCGGGCATCAGGGCGTCGCCGTTCTGCGCGTAGACGATCATCGCGTCGTCGAACGCCTTCTCCATCGGGATGCTGCGGGTCATCACCGCGGCGTCCTGTCCCTCGGCGAGGAACCACGTGGCGCCGGCGTGCGCGCCGACCTCGCGGAGCACCGTCGACAGCAGGACCCCGGTCCACTCGGTCTGGCTCGTGAGCCCGCAGACCATCTGCGGCAGAGTCTCCGGCGCGCCCCGCCGGAGGTTGCCCGAGCACTCGAGGAAGCAGATCCGCGACGTGGCGGGGAAACGCTCGAGGTCGGCCAGCGTGAAGAGGGTCGGGCGGTCGACCAGGCCGTGGACGAGGAGCTCGTACCGATCCGGGTCGATCGCGGGCACCCCGCCGTGGTGCCGCTCGAAATGCAGATCCGCCGGGGTGATGGTGCCCCGCAGTTCCTGCAGAGGCGTGCGCGAGGACGTCGAGCTGGGGTCGCGCCGCGGGGTCACGAAGGGCGAGCGCTGCCCGACCTCGTTCGGACCGGGTCCGGGACGCCGGGTGGTGTCGATGGCCTGCTGCCCGGCCGCCGGCGCCGCCGCGGCCACCGCCCCGGCCGCCCCGGCGAGCACTTCCCGGCGGGTCAGGCCGACCCGCCGCGGGCGAGAGGAGTCTGCCGATCGTTCGTGGTGCGCCATGGCTCAGCCACCCCCAATTTGTCCGCCGTCGTTTCGAAGCCGGCCCTGCGGTGTTTCCGCCGCACCCCCGCGCCGCCAGCCGGTATTATGACGCACTCCGCTCACCGGCCGTAAGCGGCCCGATCCGCCCGCACGCGCGCGGCGACCCTCTTGCTCCAGCCAACCCGATGCGGAAGGGACCGATAGCGAGCGCAACGCCCGACGACCTCGTCGGGCTCGGGAAACCGCTGCTCCTTCTGCTTCGAGAAGATCAGCTCACCGTCGGCGACCACGTCGAACTGTCCGCGGCCACCGACCACCACGTCGGCTTTCGACGCCGATCGCGTCCTTGATTGCGGCCGCCAAACTGGCGGCCTTGGGCAGGTAGTTTCAAACCTTGCAGTAACTGATTGACAGCTTCATGGCGGCTCATGGTACCGCAGCGAGCCCCGTGCGTGCAACGGCGCTTCGAGCCCGTCTGGAGCGGCGTCGTGGTCAGGGCATGATGACTTCGACGTGGGCGCGCGTGGCCGCGAGGGGCGCCAGGCGCCGATCGAGCGTCAAGAGCGTGGCGTTGTTGGTGACGGCGACCGCCAGCAGGTAGGCATCCGTCACCTGCTGGTGCCCAAGCAGATGTCCGAAGTGTGTCTCCACCTGCCGGAGGGGCGGAAGCGGCTCCACGTAGCGGTGCCGGCGGTCGCGAACCAGCCTGGCGAGCACATCGAGCGCCTGGGCGGGCGTTCGGCGCACGCCCACGACGGCGGGGTTCGACGAGAGGCGTACGAAACCGAGCTGGGTGAGCACGCACGTGGCCCAGCCGGCGGCGGGCCGGCGCTCGAGCCGGCCCACCACGGCCCGGTGGAACTGGTGGTTGGGCCACCCGAGCGCCATGAGCGCGTTGACGTCGAGCAGCAGCGGACGGTTCTCAGACGACGCCATCGTCGTCGAGCGCCTTCTGGATCCGGGAGGCGGGAATCACGCTCGCGGTTCGGGGAACCTCGAACGCGGCGAACCGTCCCGTGCCTCCACGTTTCTCGGGAGCCTGCGGCTCGGGTTGCAGCGCCTGCCGCGCCATGTCCGACAGGACGCGTCCGAGTCGCTGACCGGTGGCGCGGGCGTGGCTCAGCGCCGCTTCGTAGATGTCGTCGTCGATGGTCACCGTCGTTCGCATGGCCGCATGATACAGTGATACACCTGCATCGTCCACGCGATATCGTCGCGCCGCCGGCCGACAGCCGCGCGCGGCGTCAGGGCATCAGGCCCGCGACCCGGGTGCGAATCCGGTAGAGCCCGGTCTGCGCCGTCATGTAGAGAGTCGTGCCGTCGTTGCCGAAACGCCGCGTTGGCGGGCTGCTCCCCGGGCCGCACGGTCCCGAGGTGATCCCCCTCCGGGCTGATGACCACGATGCCGCCGGGACCGCTCGCCCACAGGTTGCCGGAGGTATCGACCGCGAAGCCGTCGGGCACGCCGGCGTCGGCGCTGTTCGTCAGGTCGAGGAGCACGCGACCCTCGCCGAGGCCGAGATCGTCGTCGACGGGATAGGCGATCCACTGCCGCGCGGCGCCGTCGGAGTTGGCCACGTACAGCGTGCGCTCGTCGGGTGAGAGCCCGATGCCGTTGGGCCGGGTCTGTCCGTCGGCCAGGAGGCGGACGGCGCCGTCGGGGTCGAGACGGTAGACGCCGTTCCAGCCGAGCTCCGCCGCGTCGGGGGAGGCGAGCCCGTACGGCGGATCGGTGAAGAAGGCCGCCCCGCTCGAGTGGTACACGATGTCGTTGGGGCTGTTGAGACGCCGGCCCTCGTAGCGGTCCGCCAGCGTGATCCGGGAGCCGTCCGCCTCGATCCGGGCGAGGCGGCGGTTGCCGTGCTCGGACAGGACGACGCGGCCGTCGAGGTCGAGGGTCAGCCCGTTCGAGCCGCCCTGGCCGCCGGTCTCGAGCTCGGGCAGAAACACCGGACTGAGGAATACGCTGGTCCCGTCCGCTTCCGACCACCGGTAGACCGTATCGCCGGGGATGTCGCTGAAGAGCAGGTGGCCGTCGGTCGCGCCCCCGACCCACACCGGTCCCTCGATGAACTGGAACCCGTCGGCGACCCGTTCGACCGCCGCGTCGGCGGCCAGCAGATCGTCGAGACGCGGATCGAGCCTGTCGATCGTCCCCCTCCCGCGTCGGCTGGCGCCTGCGCCGACTGAGCGGCCGGCAACGCGCCGCCGCCAGGGCGGCGACCACCACGACTATCAGACCGGACCAATCACCGTTCCTCGCCTCATGTTCAACTCTCCCACGGAGTCGGGGTCACGACAACTTGCACGGTGTCATGATACAGGAGCCCGTGGAGGGTCCCCTGAAAGGCGCCCTCGCCGCGACTTGCCAGGGCAGGCCGGTCTGGTCTCAGAGCGCGGAGCATGTCGATCGAGCGTCTGTGGAGCCTGCGTTCCTCACCGCCGGCTCCGGCGTTCCCGGATCTGAATCTCGTTCAGCAGGCGCTGCGGCCCCGGGGCGGTGGGAACCAGCCGCACGAGGGCAGAGGCGAGCTCGCTCGCTTCGCTCCACCGCTGTTGATCCATCAGCAGGCGGGCGAGGGCGAGCACGACGTCGGGGGTCGCGGTCGTCGCGGCGGCGGGCCTCGCGCAGCGCCGCTTCGGCTTCGTCGAATCGTTCCGCCTGCTGGAGCGCGAGCCCGTAGTTGTAGTGGACGCGGGCGCGAGCGGTGGGGACCGCGGCGAGGGCGAGGCTTTCGACCGCCTCGTCGAGGCGTCCCTCCTCGGCGAGCAGCAGGCCGAGCGAGTAGTGCAGCTCGGCCTCGTCGGGGGCGTAGTCGATCCCCCGCCGCAGGACGGTCTCGGCCTCGGGGTTGCGTCCCTGCGCGTTGAGGAGGTTGGCCAGATTGAACCGGGCCGGGGTGAACCGGGGGTCGAGGGCGAGCGCCGCGCGGTACTCCGCTTCCGCCGCGTCCCGCGCGCCCTGGCGATCGCGCACCACCCCGAGGCCGAGGCGGGCCGGCGCCATGTCCGCCACCGCGGACTGGGCGTCGAGGTACTCGGCGGCGGCGGCGGCGAGCGTCCCGCCGGCCGGGGCGCTACCGCCGCCCCACGCTTCGGCCAGGACCCGCGCGGCTTCCAGGCGCACCGCCCGGACGGGGTCGGCCAGCAGCGGCTCGAGGGCCGCGCGCCGGATCGGCAGCGGCAGCGGCTCGAGGCCGCCCACCGCGGTCGCGCGCACCAGCGGGTCCGGGTCGTTCAGCGCGTCGCGGGCGGCGGTGATGCCGGTCGGGCCGAGCGGCCGCAGCAGGTCGAGGGCGGTGGCGCGCACGATGGCGGGCTGCTCCGGGTCGGCCGCGAGCGCGGCGAGATCCGGTGCGGCCGTCCGGTCGCCGGAGCGACCGGCGGCCAGGGTCCGGGCGAAATGGGGTGGCGGCGGGGCGTCGGACCAGTCGGCGACGGCCGCGGCCGCCCACGCGTCGTCGCGGTCGTCGTGGCAGCCGGTACAGGCGTTCGGGGTGCCCAAAGCCACCGACAGATCGGGCCGGGGCACCCGGAAGCCGTGGTCGCGCCGCGGGTCGACCTGCATGTAGGTCCGGTCGGGCATGTGGCAGTTGACGCACTGCGCGCCCGGCGAGCCCGTCTCGTGGTGGTGATGCGCGGGCGTGTCGTAGCGGCCCGGCGCGAGCATCGGGAACCGGTCGACCGGGCGCTCCCGATGACACTGCGTGCACACCGCGTTGCCGTCCGCCCGCAGGCGCAGGCGGTGGGGATCGTGACAGTTCGTGCAGCGCACCCCGGCCGCATGCATCCGGCTCTGGACGAAGGAGCCGTAGACGTAGACCTCGTCGAGAATCTGGCCGTCGGGATGGTAGAGGCCTTCCCCCAGCCGAGCCGGCAGGAAGTCGTCGAGCAGGGGCCGCCGTGCGCGGCCACCGGGGTCAGCGCTTCGCGGCGGGCGTGGCAGGGCGCGCAGGCGTCGAGCTCCGGGGCGGGGTCGTCGGCCGCGAACGGCGCGACGAGGCCCCACCCGCCGGACGGGGCGGCTCCTTCGTTCGCGGCGGCGCCGGCCAGGGCCACGTGCCGCTCTCCGGGGCCGTGGCAGGCCTGGCAGCCGACGTCGATCTCGGCCCAGGTCGTCTCGTAGGTGTCCGACTCGACGTCGTAGCGTTTCCGCAGGTCGGTCGAGTGGCAGGCCGCGCACTGCAGGTTCCAGGTCTGGTAGCGGCCGGTCCAGTGCAGCGGGTCGTCCGGCTCGATCCGCTCGTCGGGATAGAGGTGGAACCAGGCGTTCCGCGCCGTATCCCACGCGATCGGCAGGCTCTGCAGGCGCCCGCCGGGAAACGGGGCCAGATACTGTTGCAGCGGCTCGACCCCCAGCGTGTGGGTCAGCTCGAAGTCGGCCGGCGCGCCGTCCGGCCCTTCGGTGTTCACGAAGAAGCGGTCTTCGCGTCGAAAGAACCGGGAGCTGACACCGTGATGGGTGAAGGTGGCGCCCTCGAAATCGCCCAGGACCGTATCGGGCGTCGCCTCCTGCATGGCGAGGTCGTGATGCGAGCCGGTCCAGGCGTCGAATTGCCGCTGGTGACAGGCGGCACAGTCGGCGTCCGCCACGTACGCCACGCCCGAGGCGTCGGCGCCGCGCGCCTGGCGCGGCCAGTCTCCGGCCGGCGGGGCGCAGGCCGCGCCGGCGAGCACCGCGGCTGCGGCAAGCGGGGCGAGTGACGGGCGAACCGGGGGCGCAGCCGCCCGGGGACGGACGACCGAGGCAAGAAGGCTCCACATCGGGACGGTCATGCCGCGCGATGCAGCCGTCTCAGGAAATCGTCTGCAGTTGGTTGAAGACGCGCAGCACGCCGTTCGTCTGGCGGGCAATGCGTTCGAGCTCCCGGCGCTCGATCTCGCCTTGCACGTACCCGACGAGGGTGACGACCCCGCGTTCGACGATGATGTGAAACGGCGGGTTCGGCTGCGACGCGAACCGCTGGAAGTGCGAGCTGCCGAACACCTGCCGTGCGATGCTGGTTCGCAGGCGGTCGTCCGCCGTCGACGGCGTCATCAGCACGATCTGATTCTGTACTTCCTGGACCCCTCTGATCTTCGCCACCCGCTCGAAGATCTCGCGTGGCTTGTCGCGTTCGCCGGTCACCCGACCCATCAGGGTCACCACCCCGTTGTCGATTCGCCCGTCGAGATAGTCGAAGACGGTGTAGTACGGATAGCGCACCACCGGCGCGGGAGACGTCTTCCACCAGGTCTTCGTCGCGCTCCGCCGGCGGCAGTGTTATCTCGCTGACCACCGTCTCGACCCCGTCGACGTCCACGCCCGCCGTATCGCTTCGCTCTCCAGCCAGAACGTGTCGAGTCGCCCGGCCAGGGTGACCTCGCCGCCCGCGGTCGTGACCTCGAGCCGCCGGAGGCCGCGGTCGCGGCGAAGCGCGTCCCGTACCTCCTGCTCGAGCCGACTCGACGCTTGCGCCGCGGCCGGCGCGGCCTCGGTCAGGAGCCCGCCCATGACCAGCAGGGCGCATACCGTGACAGACAGATGACGGTGCATGCGGGTCTCCTTCCGTGCCGGAGATCCCGGTGCGGCGGCGATCCTGCCGCGGGGTGGCCGCCGCCGCACCGGATCGTGCTCCGGCGTTCCTACACCCCCGGCACCGCGTTGCCCGCGATGTACACCGACTCGAGGGTGTGCGTGTTGCCGATGTCGTCCAGCGGGTTGGCGCCGAGCACGAGAATCGGCCCACTTGCCGGCCTCGAGCGACCCGAGGTCGGCGTCCACCTCCATGCCGCGCGCGGCATCGGACGTGGATGCCACTATCGCCTGCATGGGCGACAACCCCGCTTCGACCATGAGCGCGAGCTCGCCGTGCTCGAAATAGCCCTGGAACCGCGCCGCGGGGCCGGTGTCGGTCCCCATGGCGATGGGGATGCCGGCGTCCGACAGCGCCTTCAGGTTCTGCTTGGCCACTTCGAGCTGCGCCTTGTAGGTCTGGGCGCTGCTGCGGTTCTGGATGCTCTCCTGATACGCCGGATCCTCAGGCGGCCACGACCTCGGGGTCCGCCTCTTTCTGGAAGAACGGATCGTCGAACCACTCGGGCCGCGACTCATAGACGTAGGTCGAGACCTCGCGCATGAGGGTCGGGCAGTAGCAGACGCCGGTCTCCTGGAGCTGGGCGATCAGCTCGTCGTCGACCGCGGTGTCGCGCACGCTGTGCGCCAGCAGGTCGGCGCCGGCCTCGAGCAGCCCCTTGGCGTCTTCCAGGTAGTAGAGATGCGCGGCGAGCCGCAGGCCCCGTTCGTGCGCGGTGTCGATGACCGCCTGGTAGGCCTCCGGGGTCATCTTGGTGCTCGCGCCGAGGTTGTCGTCGACCCGGATCTTGACGATATCCGCGCCGAGCTCGATCGCCGCGTTGGCCTGTTCCGCCGCCTCTTCCGGCGTCGGCCCGGTGGGGATGTTCCCGGAGAGGTAGAAGCGGGCTTGGTTCGGTCG